GGAGCATCGGGTTTGGGGCATGTGACTCACTGGTCATGGGTTGCTCAGTGCGCGGCGGGGATTCATCCTGACTCCGCGTGTGTGCGTGGAGGCTGGAGCTGTGCGGCAAGCCTCTGAGCGCGCCTCTGGGCGCTCGCTGCGTGTGTCTTGCTGAGGCTTGTTTTGGCTGTGCGGTTAAGGGAGCGTTGTTCATCCTGGGTGTGTTAGGGGATTTGTCTTATAACGAGAAGCTTTCCTTAAAGTTTGCCTTTAGCAGTAGCGTCTGGAACAGAGGCTGTCGCGGGGTGGAGGTTGGGATGAGCTCTGTCAGTTATGGGAGCGCTTCCCCTTTTGCATGACGCTTCTGTGGGTGGAATTTGGATGCTTCAAGTGAAGCCTATAACAGAGAAGTAGAGCAACATAACGAGGTGGTCTTGTCTCTGTAGGTGGGTGATGCCGAGCACAGCCATGAAGAAAAAGGTAAGAATTGAAATAAGAATCCTCTGTAGATAGGTTTGCTCCCCTGTCTGCATTTGCTAATGTGGTTACGTGTTTGCCTCTGTATCTTGACATGTTCTTTGACTGTCAGCTACCTCTTAAGACTCTCACAGAGTTGATAGATGTGTTCTTTGCTTAAAATGCTAGAACTCAAAAGCAAATTTGAGTTTATTGCTAACAAGAGCAGCTGGGCACAGCAGAACCATCCAGGATAACTGCTATGTGAACACGTCTGGTACATGTTGAAAACATGTACCTCCGCTTGCTGTATACCTCACGTAGCGCAGGGGAAGAGGATGTGCTCCAACAGGCTTTATTGGCCTGCAGCGAGACGTTACGTGGTGGGTTACAGAGACTGGCGTGGGAAGCCCGTAATCCTGTTGAGGGCTCTGGGAAGGACGGAACTTAACGCGCAGCGGAAAAGTAGCGCCTTTACTACGAAATGAGGGGGTGTGTATATCACAGCATATTCAAAGTTGTCAAAACGGCTACGTAAATGATATATGATTGTCTTTCTGTGTTATGCTAGGGTTGGATTTCCTTTGTGGCCCCATATGCTGGTGTCTGACCTCTTTGCAAGGCCAACACAGCCTAAAACTTAGGACTCCGATCAGCTTTTAGGCTGACTTGTGCTGTGTCTCTTGGAGCCATATTGAGTTTCTGCATGTGCTTTTCCTGCAGGTGGTATGAAATTAGAGGGAGGACAGGCTGATTTTTATTTTGGGGCTGCTCTGTGCCCAGCTAAGGGGAAAAAGGCGGTGTGACTTTTTAGGGGTTTGCTTCAGAAAGGCTGGTAGGTGTTGCCTGGTCAGCCTACTGCTTTGAAAAGAGTCCTTGTTAGCAAATCATCAAGGCCTGCTCTCCTCAGAGCTTCCGAACATGATGGGAGATTCTTTGTCATTTATATCTTAACCATGTGGTCAGCTGCTTTAGCCAAGAGAATTTGCTAGCCTGTGAGATGTTGCAGTAGCTCTCAGAAGAGTAGTAACTCATGTAAACAGGATGGTGTGATTCTGCCTCTCCTATTTTGTTCCGAGATTCTAGCAGTTGTTGCCGTGCAATCCCAGAGTGAGATTGGGAGTTGAACGAGTGCCTTTCCAACCGGCATTTGGCGCTCGTAACGGGCTGGGCAGGCAGATTCGGGCCGGCTGCGCTCTTGTTAAAACTATCCTTGATGATGGATTTTCAGAGCTGTTGCCAAAGGCTGAATTTGACTTTGTAACTGGAACTCGTTTAACAGCTGTTTTTGTGAGCAAGTCTGTGTTGGCTGTCACAGACTTTTAGATTGCCACATAGAGTCTTTCCATGTGTGATTGTCTCCCCTCTCCCCCGCTTCCCTGGTTTTCTGCTACTTGTTTAACTGAAGATGTTGTCTTTGGCGTGATGATCTGCAAACAGGACTCTGGAATCAAATTTGAGTCTCCTATATAATGAAAAGGCTGGTATGCTTGAACTGGGTTGCTGCATCTGCTTTTAATTTCTTTCTGGTCTTCTGACACCCTTAAAACTCAAAGGGGGACTTGTATTTCACTTCTGCCAGGGAAGAGAAACCAAGCTGTGTTGTGAGAAGGAAAAGAACAAGATTAGAAGAGAAGTAGTGGGGGGAGAATACCAGGGCAGAAGGTGCTGAGTGGGCAAGTGATTGTTTTCAGTCTAGGCTTAAAGGCCTGAGATAAAACTGTTCTTTGTTTTGCTTAAGTCCTTTGCTCTTGCCAGAAGCACCAAACCTTCACCTTTGGTGCCAGCGCCTTTGGAGAGGCAAGCATGGCTGGGAACGCAGCAGAGAGCCCTCTGCCAGTGTGCATTGGGGGTCAAAGGAGCTACGGATGATAGTGGCTGTGGGCTGGCTACATTTTCTTTTGGGTATTATGCTGTCAGTCAAAGGAACAGGAGTATAGTGTCTAGAAGGGGAGAGATTCCTGAGAGAGGAGAGGAGGAAGGGGGAGGCCAGGGAAGGAGGGGGGGGTGTAATTTCAGGAACGCAAGCAAGATAAATAGATTTTCAGCCTTTTAACTGTGATTCAGTGTCCATGCTTAGCAAGGAGCTAAGAACGTCTGTCTTCTGGTTTTCCAGGTGTAGTACTCTTTGCCACTGTCTACCGATGCATTTAACACCTGTCTTTCAGTTGCTTCAACAGCAATATATTAACCCAAGGGGAGGCCTGGAGGCCTTGCTGCTCTATGATAGCTAATTCTTTCTTCCTCTTTCTTTCCAGGTGCTGCTGATGGGTAAAAGTGGGTCTGGGAAGACCAGCATGAGGTCCATTATCTTTGCAAACTACATTGCCAGGGACACACGGCGCCTGGGTGCCACAAGTAAGATTTCTCTCACTTACATCGGAAAGTCTCAGGGCTCAAACTCTGGTCGTTAGAGGGGTGAGGCTTTTTAAGATCAGGAAGCAGCCTTTGCTGCTGCTACACTTGTTATTGGAGGAGTGATCAGAGCTTTCTCATGGTCTTTTTCGTTGGAGAAGCCATCCTGTTGTTAGCCTCCTGATCACTAACACAGTTCGGGGGCACAGTGGTCTTACTATAAACACCTGTGGCTTTGGCACAGGTGATGCGCTAGTCTTAATTAGTGCCTTTTGCCTTTTATGTTTCTCCCGAAAGCCACTGGTCTGAAAAAACAGTAAATGATTTTTCTGAAACAGTGGTTTGAATCTGTGAGGATCTAACACTGCTCGCTGGGAAACAGCTGTGAGGACGTAATGTCACGGATTGATCTACACTTGGTGATATTTCCTCTTTGCCATAGATCAGCCCTTTTCAAAAAGTTTACATCTGATTACTGATATATTTATTTTTAAGGCTTGCTTAAAGCCTTGCGGAATGTGCTGGTGCTAGTATCGTTCTTAAAATATCACAGAGTTTGGAGAACGTGTTGTTAAAGGGGGCACACCTACTGTATTTCTCAGGAGAACAATATCCCAGTTAGGCAGTGGGAAGGCTTGAATTACTCTGGCAACTGTATTTATCCGTAGCGTGTTCAGCTTCAGATTTACATACAGCAATGTTGTTTAGATGGAATTTCATAAATTGTAGGCTGTGTTGTGAAGAATGACGTTTCTGGCTGCCTGAGGAGGCAGCAGTCTGATCTGAAGCTGATCTGGGTGTGTCTGGTGGGTGGCACAGTTAGTAAACTCCTGTTGTCTCTTTGCAGTTGATGTGGAGCACTCCCATGTTAGATTCCTAGGAAACCTGGTGTTAAACCTGTGGGACTGTGGAGGGTAGGTACTGTTTATTCTTTTGCTTTTAAAACCTTTGGGGGCTAGCTCTGGTGACTAAGATGGAGATATGATAGTACGGGGGTCCTTCTGCCTTTGCAGGGCTAGTATGCTTTTTGTGCGTTAAAAGAATAGTACAAGCTTTATGCGTTACCCTGTAAAAACTGGTGAGACAGCTCTGGGAAGAGTGGCTACCACATCTTAGACTTGTACGTGGAGGCGGGTGGAAGAGGTTGGCCTGATTACTGCTGTCTTTTGAGTTATACACTGCTCCTTTGATGTGGAAAGACAGGCCTGCCCTTTCCTTGCTGACTGTTGGCAAAACGTCTGAGCCTGTCACCTGGACTTTCTCTGGGAGTGTTTGGTGGTGATGTGCATTGCAGAACTCTCTAGCCCCAGCTTGATTCAAATGGGGTGTGCGCTGAGAAGTGATGCTGAAGATGGGCGATCCTGTGGTTCCTAGCAAGCAGCTTTTCAAGGAACACGCTCTCCCATTGGCCGAGCCTCAGCAGAGCTGTCAGACTTGCTTGCTAATCTGCCTTGGATCTAAAGTCCACATGCTTTACCTGAGCCATGTTCAGCAAAAGTCAGTTAAAGCAGATGTTGGTGCTGTAATAGCAAGACACCATGATGATTTTTGGACATATTTTATCTACTGCCGCTGTGGTTTTTTAATACGTAATTCCCTAAAAGCCAGCATGAGTCCAGAAACTACGTAGCTCCCTTTGCATAGGATGCTGCCCAAGCTAGCCTGGAGCAGCCTGCTCTGGTGTGTGAAAGTTTCCTGTGAGAAATGGAGAGGCACAGAATACCCCTTCCCTTCAGGACCATGTGACTTTTTTGCTCTGTTTGCGATGCCTAGGGAGCCTATGTCATGGGGAATTTAGCCATCTGTAGAGCTCTCTTCTAGTCTGTTGTGATGGGGTCTTTAGCTCAGAATGTAAACCTTCTCTTCGCCTTTCTAACATGAGGCGTTTTACGCAGAATGTGTATGTGCTCTTAATGTGCTCCTCTGCCCCTTCTCAGGCAGGATACCTTCATGGAGAACTACTTCACCAGTCAGCGAGACAACATATTCCGCAATGTAGAAGTCCTCATCTATGTCTTCGATGTAGAGAGCCGTGAACTGGAAAAGGACATGCACTACTACCAGTCCTGCTTGGAGGCAATTCTTCAGAACTCTCCTGATGCAAAGATCTTCTGTCTAGTGCACAAGATGGACTTGGTGCAGGAGGATCAGCGGGATTTGGTGAGAAGCTGATAGTTGCCATAGAAATTCTTTCAAAGAAATAGAGCATCTTATGACTGTGCTGAAGCATTGCTATTTCATCCTTCAGCTACAGCCCCATCAGCACCCTTCCTAGAAGGGTTTCTCAGATGTTAAGAAATCCTCAAAGCCTGATTTTTTTTTTTCTGCCTTTTGTGAACTGTATGTCACTGTACATCTCTTGCACGTAATCCGGTGGAGAACAGGACTAATGATTTTCAGTAACTACTCTTAAGCTTTATGTTTTGTAGCATCGGTTCTAATGTTTTTGCCAGACCGTGGCTGCAGAGGTAGGGTAAGAAGGTAGAACTGCAAGACATACAGCAAACTCTAAAATTCGCATCTTGCCATTTGGGCGTCTTCAAGGACTTTGGAAGTGAGAATTCATTTCTTTTTAGTTGGTGCTTTCAGTCTAGCATGGGTCCTGTTCTACAGTGTAACCGAGAAAGACGAATGAGTGAAACTTTCCCAGTTTACTAGAAAGTGACTTGTATCACTTGATTCTTCTGGTTTCTGTCACAAGGCATTCTGTTTAGCTTACTCATCCAGAGATCGCCTCTTAATTTAACACTTATCTGCCCCAGGGGCTCAATGCAAATCCTGCAAAGTGGCTGGGGAATCAACCTTTCAGCAACATTTGGTGTTTTATGCTCTTTTCCGAGCCTTTGAAAGGTCGGAGGGAGACTGGTGGATGTTGAATTTCTGCTAACCTCATTTTTCAGCTTTGACTGAAGAGCAACCAACTCCTGGTGCCAAAGCAGAGACTAATTTTAGGGGTTAGACACTGCAGGTTAGACACCTTTGTTAGTACATCCCTGGCTGATTTGCTCCAAGTCAGGAAGTGGCCAGTCTGAAGGCCCCTTTAGGCTACTGGCTTTTGACTGAAGTAAGAATTCTAATATTAAAGTCTTCTTTCAGTTCCTGTTGAGTATGGGTCTGGGCAGCTGCAGAGGAGCAAAAAAAGGGTGATCCCATGGTTGAGATCACAACCTGACCTCCTTGTGTAGACAGGCTTATTCTGTGTAGCAGTTTGGCTGTAGATGGCTCATGTGCTCCAAGTATGGTGATCCTGGTTTGTTTTGGTTCTGCCCTCCAGCTCAGTGGAAATATAGATCAAAGAGCTTCCTGGCAGGCTAGATTGGAGGACCTCTTCCTTTTTTCCATGTACCTTCCCTCCAAACTGAAAAGGGGGTCTGAAATCTCCTTGAATGCTCCAAACTAAGTAAAACCTGGCACTGTCTAGCTTTAATATTTTGAGGATTAGTAAACAAATGATGGTTTTGTGCAGTTTCTAGTGAGGCTGTGAAATGAGAGGCAGACAGAAGAGGTGCCTTGCTCTGAATATACTTTCAGCACATATCACTGCAGACCTGTCAAGATCTGCCTTATGGTGTCTGCTACTCAAAACAACCAGCAAATACTCTTGAACTGGGCCCAACAACTAGCCCTGTAAATCCCACCGAAGGCTTTGGCATCTTAGGGCCCAGATGGTAAGTGCTGGCCTATGCAGCGTTTCAGAGGTAACGGAGTTTGTTCTGTCATGCTCCTAACAACACTAAGCTGCGAAAGCAGTGATCGCATCTTCCCCAGCAGAGGGCATGTGGCTGGCTGTCTTGCTGCTCTTTTACCAGTTCTGTAGGAGCCCATGCTGTCTTCACTTTTTTTTATTTAAGACTGTGACTTCCAAGGGCAGAGTTTGAAGTAAGAAGGCTGTATCAAAGTATGTCTCACAGCACCTTTGTCATTGCGGTTCATATTGATGAACTTCTCTGGCGCTTTTCTCCTGTCTTATTATCTCTGACAGTTTTTTGCCTGTGACCAGGGACTTCAGAGTTTCCTACGCTGTGATTGTATATTGCATTTAAATACATGTCATGGCTCAGGTCCTCTGTGAAACTCCTCCTTCCTGTCTCCATTCCCACTGCATAACACCCATTGTTATTTCAGGTCTGAGTTCCTGTCAGCTCTATTGCAAGACAGCCATGGTTTGCTTGTCCCCGCTACTTCTCTGGGGGTGGATTTCTGACAATCTGTCCTAGCTGGCAGTCTCTGCTGCTGCCTGTTCTCCAGTGCTCTGCGCGCCTGAGCGGGGTGTCTGTGTTGTGTGTGTGGTTTGTTTTTTGAAATGCATGGTTACTGCTATAGACACAATACAGTAATGCACCAATGGCATAAATATTTATATTTGGCTGCTAATTTTTTTTCTTTACCAGATTTTTAAAGAGCGGGAGGAGGACTTAAGGCGCCTTTCTCGCCCCTTGGAATGCGCTTGTTTTAGAACGTCCATCTGGGATGAAACACTTTACAAGGTCTGTACAGCATCCTTCCTGTATCTGGCTCCCTGGCCCCTCAAAAGTAAGAGCATGAGGAAGGTGTGCGGTTAGTTGCTACAGGTTTATTGGTGACTGACCCTTTCTAGCTCTGCAATGAAACTACAGGCTCCCTGTTGTGAGAATGGCACGTGAGAATCCCGATTTCATTAAAAGAAAAAATCCCTCAACATGTTAGTGTCACGGCTAGTGGTGTCGCTGGTTAGCACTCTGTAGACACCCTGCCTAGCCACTTTGGAAAGAGCTTCTGCATCTCTTAGTCATGTTTAGCCAGCATAGAATTGCTTCCTCTTCTGTCTCTACAACCTTGTTAAAGCACTTAAGCATTTAACGTCCTGGGGATTTGCTTGCTGGCCGGAATTTTTCTTACCATCTGTCAGTCTTGCCTGCTATGTCAGAGGTCTTTCTGGTGCAGGAGTGATGAGTGCTACCTGGGCTACACTGAGGAAAAATGATTATCAAATTGCCAACTAATGCTAATAAGCAGTATTAGTAGCGTAATGGTTAAGTTGCTGTCTGAAGGTGATGACCAGCTGGCTCTTTCTGCTGACTTCAGTGGGACTTCAGATGACAGTGTTCACCATCTCACCCTCTTGGAAAATCCAGGCAAAAGCGTAGCCAGTTCCCCTGCCTTCAGTATGTGATGAGTTTGAATAAAGCTCCTGTACAGGTACCTGAGATCTTTGCCAGGCGTTGCTCTTTCGAAAGTGTGTACCCTGCTCCCTGTAGGTGACTAGAGACCTTTAAAAGCAGTGGCATACCGTGTCATCTTACAGGCATCCCTAAAGTTGCTCAGTTATAGTGGTTACTCTGTTTGGGCTTCTTATACAGAGGCAGACTTGTACTGTTCTAGACACAGCCCTGCCAGAGCTCTTCAGAGCTCGTGCCTTTGGCTTAGGCCTAACTTGCGTTTTGCAGGCAGGATGGTAGGAATTTTTGGTAAAAGTCAAATACTTGATAAATATGGAACATAGATACCCACCGTGACTCCTGTGGTGAAGTGTGTAGTAGAGCTTTGATGCAGAGCTGAATCAGTAGGTAGGCAGTGAGATGAAGCCACTGCAGGTAGAGAACCTGAGTCTGACAATGCCTAGGACAAGGACAAATGCCTACTATAGCATATTTGGTTCCTCCTGGTCTGGTAGTTCCTGACTCAGTGCAATAGGTCAGAGCTTTCTAGTTGGATCTGTTACAAGCTGTCAGGTGTCCATCTGCTCAATGACCTCGCTCAAGATTAAGAAACTTTGAAAACTTCAACAGGTTTACCTGGGAGCAGTAGATAGAAATATTGCCAGCTCAAAATGAGAATGGATTGAAGTCTGTTTTATAATAGTCTAGTTCCTGAGTGGCAGATGTAGAGATAAAAATTGACCTAGTTAAGAGTTTGTGCTGAAAAACTGATCTGGGGTACCAGTGAATCTCTCTACCATAGTAGAGAGATCCAGATGCTGAGGTAACAGAAGCTTCTCAGCTTTGCTTATGCTAAAAAAAAAAAAAAAAACACCCAGCAACTGCAAATAGGCAGTTCTTGAGCACTTAGTATAGCAAGAAGGTGAAGCAAAAGTGCTAATACAGCCTTTATGTTGTGTCTTTCTTAATTGACAGGCTTGGTCCAGTATAGTCTATCAGCTGATCCCCAATGTCCAGCAGCTGGAAATGAACTTGAGGAACTTTGCTCAGATCATCGAGGCAGATGAAGTGCTTCTGTTTGAGCGAGCCACTTTCCTGGTGAATACAGCTGTTCTGCCCTTCGTGTTCCTCTGCCCAGCCTAGGATGGAGTTCCTGGATGGAAAGTGCTGTTATGGCAGTAGCCCAAAGAGAGGTGCCAGCACCACATGGCAGAACATTTTGATCCAGGCCTTGTGATACTGAAAGTAGTTGACGTGACTCCACAGTGATGTGACTTTCCCAAAATTTCCACTTGTAGCATTTGAGCTGAGGGCTTGATTCATATTTCCCTCTTCAAGCTGTAAGATGGTTTCATATCCCCATTCTCGCGTTGGCTATTGGACTTTTCTGAGAATTCCTTTCTGCACATGGCAAGAACTTTTTTTTTAGCCTGAAAAATCTTTTCAGTTCCTCCTGGACTGGCATTTTTACCTAGTCTTGATTCCCTTTTTTGGTAAACGTCTGACAGTCTACAAACCTGGAGTATGGGTAGAGGATTGCAAGCTACTGGAATGCTATGCCTTCCAAAGTTACTAGCTGTGTGTGGTAATAGTCCTTTGTGTCTGCAAAGTGAAATGTGTTAATACCACTGTTGTGGCTTTTCTGTCCATACTCTTTGTTTCTAGATTGGTCTCTTCAGACTTTGTACCCAAAACTCTTCCTGAAAGGAAGAGGTTTTGAAATTTTTTGAACTCTCCTAACAAACAAATACCTGACTTTGAAGTGGAGAGTATGTGAGGAGGGAGCCGTTACTTTTCTCACTTCTTAAGATATCAGAAGTACACACCTGCCATTTCTGGCAAGTCCTACTTTTTTGACCTTTTGTACATGATGTCAGCCACCAAGGCGGGACTATTAAACAGTATTTTCTTTATACTTGTATTTATCACTGGAAAAGCCTAATCTTTGCTACAGAAAATCTGCACTTATTTTCCCCTTAGTGGTGACTTTAAAAAGACTTTCCTCCTTCTCATGTGTGTTTTTTTTTTTATATATTTAAACTTCCCCCAGGACTCCTTTCTCCTGAAGTGAAATGCCTTATTCTGCAACTATATTCAAATCACAGTAACAGAAAAAGCTATCTGAGAAGTTAAGGAATGAACTTGCATACAGTGAAGGCTTTGGTATGAATGTAATCCTTGAATCTGGCTCAGCTTGTACTTTTCTGAATAATTGGGCAGGTTTAAAACTAGGAAATAGATAACGAATTTCTTAAGGTGCGTGAGAGATTCTTAGTTACTGCAAGCCTGTTAAATGTGATTCCATAGGTAGAAAAGTAAGAGTTTAACATTCTTGTGCAAGGGTGCATGACGCTTTTGGTAACTGATGGTTTCATGGTTATGCATACTCTTTGGGTTTTCTGTGGGACCAAAGATGATGCAATTATCTGATTGTGTGCAATTCCTCTTGTACAGTAGGTACAGCTCTTGGCCCATTGGCAAATTTTGGCTGAAGTGTGAAGGTCTGTAGGGTACCAGCTTTGTGAAAATGGTCAGGGAGAGTGGAGAGATAGGTATGGATCACTTTTTGCAAGCATTCCTAATAATAATTTTTGATCCTTTGAGTTTTTGCAATAGGGCACTCAGGCCTGCATGTTGCTGCGAGATCAGTCTGTCATATTTAAAAAAAAAAAAAAAAAAAAAGGGGGAACTGATCTGTATGCAGACAACTTAGCACAATCTTGGTCTGACTCAGTGAACTGATGAAAAGAACTCCCTGGGAAACCAGGCTTCATCAGCTCTGCTTCTCTTAGTCAGAGAGATGAACAGCTTGCTCTGGCTTTCCCAGAGTGCTGCTTGTGCATCCTACAGGTTCCATAATGGCAAATTTATCAGGTTTCAGTCCTTGGGAATCTGCAGCATGGTGGACTTAGCAAGAAAAATCTATTCCAGCAGTTGTCAAGTATCTGTTTCCCCCACCTGAGGTGATACTCTTTAATTATCCCCCTCTATTGTGCTTTTCTTGTTCTTTGAATCAAGACTTAAATTGCTGGTAAGTTGGAGGATCAGACGTTGAAGGAAGCGGAGCGCCTCTTATATATCTCATATGCTTACATCTGTTTGTGCTTGTGAAAGGCTTTGCAGTGATTCTATTACTGAATCTTGTTTTACTGTGAAACGACCACAAGTATTGTTAAAGATAGTTTCCAAGATTCAGTCAGCAAAAGGCAAAGGGAATTCCTGTGCTGGTCACCCCCTGTTTCCCACAATTGCTATCAAGCCTGAGAAACTGATGCTGAAATAAATTACTAACACTGCAGTCTCTCTCGTTCTACCTTCCAGGTCATTTCTCACTATCAGTGCAAAGAACAGCGGGATATCCACAGATTTGAGAAAATCAGCAACATTATTAAACAATTCAAATTGAGTTGCAGGTGAGCTGGTTTAGTCACTAGTTGGGAAAGATACCTGAGCAGATACCAAGAGTATTCTGCTTTCGTTTGGTAAGCTTTCTTGCTTCAGGATGAATGAGGGTCCTATGACTTCTCAGCAAGCTAAGGAGATGCCTTAGTTAAATTGCTGTCTAGAAAGCACCGTGTTTAAACATGAGTATCATGTATCTTTCGTAACTTCCTTCTCTGCTGATCGTTGAAAGAGGTTTGTTTTGAAACAACCATTTCCCTCTAGGCCTTGTTCTCCTGGGCAGGGTAGGGAAGTCCCAGGACCAAACTGATAACTTAGTGACAGTTAAGAGCTCCCTAAATTCAGATCAAGAGCTTTGCTTCTGACCCTGTTGGTCTGGGAGAAAGGCGCTTGCAAATATTCTGTACCGCTATTTTCAGAGGAAAATAGAAAATTTACTTCAGAGTAACTTGTCCTTTGAACAGCCTTCAGGTTCGATAGTACCTGAAAGTGTTTAGACCCAGAGTAGGATGGAGGAGAAGTGGCTGCATGGTGTATAAAGCTGCCTCCAGACTTTTCAACTTTATGCTTTCTTCTGCTGGTTAACCACAGAGCGTAAAACTGTCTTTCTAAATGACTGTGTTGGGCTATTACATCTCCTGCTGGACAAGTGATGTTGACTGCTTGGGCATAGCAAACTTGGACAGGAAATGGGGTTATATGCCTTGAATAACGAGCCTTAGTCATTCAGTACTCAGATCATTTTATATTGTTCTCATTGGATCAATTAAGCCTAAAGCTGAAGAGTTTGTCTTTTTAAAAAAAAAAAAAAAAAAAAAAAAGAATTGCAGCCTCAGCTGGTGGTTGTCTCCACCTGGCAAGCAATACCTCTTCATTATCAGCACCTCAAATGAATAATGAAATGTTGGGCTGTGGTGGGGGGAAGCTGTTTGGGCAAGGTTATGGTAAAAGTTCATTCATGCGGGGTGTTTTTTTTTTTTTTTCCCCCCCCTCTCTCCCTCACCCTTAGTAAGCTGGCTGCTTCTTTCCAGAGCATGGAAGTCAGGAACTCTAACTTTGCTGCTTTCATTGACATCTTTACATCGAATACTTATGTGATGGTGGTTATGTCAGACCCTTCAATACGTAAGTTGAAGCAAATATAAGCTTTTGGCCTGTTTTTGTTCATAGGAATGAAACGCTGGATAAGTCTAGTTTCTAAAGTGTGTTTCTGTTAAAAATGATGAACGCCAGACACAAGCAATAAAAATTATTGCAATTCAAAGAAAAAAGTGGATCTACTGTCCTGCCAATTTGGCCTGTCTGAGCTGAGGGTGGGGGAAGATGTTAAAAATAGACTTACCTTGCCAAAGGAAGAAGAGCTGTGTCACCTTTGACAATTGAGCTATTTGATGCTGCTGTCCAGTGGAGGGTGGTAGCAGCGGTGGGGAACCACTGAAACAGATGTGACCTGATTTCATAGGTCTAGTCTGGTAACCTATTTTGGACTGTTCTGATCTGGCAGCCACAGCGGTTTCTGGAAGGGAAGCACAGATGGATTATATTTGAGGTTTTGCTTTTGCTGCCTGAACTGTCTTGGTGGGCAAGGATCCCGATTCTAGTAGCATCGATTTCTCTAAAGAATAAATCACAACCACTAGTACCAACCTCCACATGAACGGTTTGAATATTTAACTGTCTACACAACTGTAATTGAAGCTGCTTCTGTTAGGAATTGAGACTCTTAAGAATCACTGTCCAAGACAGCCTTGTGGCATGCAGTGTTAATGCTTCCTGTCCTTCTCTTGGACTGACTACTGAATTAGGGAAAACTTGTATAAACCCCATCACCTGGACTGAATTATCAGCTGTGGTATCACTGTGCTCAAGGAGCAGTGGAGAAGATGCTGAAGTGACTTCTGTAACGATCCCCATGAACAAACTGCACTGCTGGAGTTCACTCTGTCTCTCCCCCAGTGTTACACTGGGCTCAGCAAACAAAACCCAGACCTTCTAGTGTTTAAATATTACACAGCTAGGGAACAGCAGGGTTTGATACAAGAGAGCTTGCTGATATGGGCATGGGTACTCTTAGAAGCATCGTGCCCCTTAGGGAAGAGAGCTTGCTCCCTGCTTTTTCCAAATTTAAGTGAAACTTAGTGCTAGTTGGTGAAAGTGAAAGCCGTAAAAGCTGTAAAATGGTTCTATCTCTCTGCTGAACAGAAGGCTTTATGTCTTGTTTCATCCTACAGTCATCCTACAGCGCTTAAAGTGGAAACATGAACCCAAGCCACTCAGGGCTTTTTGCCTCAGTCCTGGTGATAAGAACCAAAATAACCTATGTTCTTAGGCAGCGCTTAACTTCTGAGGACCTACTCACCTCCCTCTTAACTTTTCTTTTGTCCTCCCTCTCCCCTTACCCTTATCCATCCTAGCATCTGCAGCTACACTGATCAACATCCGCAATGCCAGAAAACACTTTGAGAAGCTGGAAAGAGTGGATGGACCAAAGCACAGTCTGCTCATGCGCTGAACATTGGCCAAGGCACATGGTCTTTGGGGGGAGAAAAAAATGAATTGGAACTACATTTTCTTTTTTAGGAGAATCTAACAATGTGGATGTCTTTGTGGGCTTTGAAATGAGTGTGCTGCTTACCACCGCAATCTTTATTTTTTCTCCTTTTAACGTTGGACACTAGTCGCTCAGATAATGTCTGGATACACTGCGGACCTTCAGAAGAGACTTCCTGGCATATATGGGATTGGGAAGAAGCAAGGACAGGTGATGTGCACATGGTCTCATACTTCCGGTTGTCACAGTAGCACATGGCAGAGCCTTTTTGAGTGTTCTGCTCCCAGGTGATCATACAAATCACAGGGATGGAATATTTACTATTTTATCGGTAGGTTGCTAGAACACATTTATAAATTTCTCCTTATCTTCAGTCATGAAAATAAATTTTTGCTACCAGGGATTTTGGATCCTAGAGCTTTGGAAAGTGGGCTTTCTTTCTCCTAAAATCTAGGGCAGCTTTGGCAAGCAGATGTAAAATGGCTACATTTCTCCTTACATACTACTTGGTGGGGGGGTTGACTGAAAGCCATTGCAGACTTTCATTTGAGAGCTCTTCATGTTGAGGCAAAATTCACTCAGTGGGTCAATCAGTCAGGATAACATTGGTCTCGTTACATCACTTTGTCAAAGTGATGAAAAGGTCAGAGTGAATAGAAGGAGCCAATGGCCCTTATTTCCCAGGCAGTGAGAGACAGTCTTGGCATGCCAGGTCTTCATCCTGGTGAGCCAGGAGATGCTGACGTGGGCAAGTAGGAGTACTAGAATGTGATTGTTATGGGTTGTGTGTGCATGAGCTATATTAGCTATGTTTGCGAAGAGCCAGTTGGACAGTGTCTGACAGCAATATGACTTGACATTACCGTCTATTTTTAGTGAAATTTTTGTGTGCATTTCTATTAAACATAGGAGCAACAAAAGCACTGTGAGTTAGGGGAATCTCTCTGACTTGGTGGATGGGAGTTGATGCTTGTCAAAGCATCTTTTTCCTTTTTTTTTTTCTTGCTGCATCAAATTACTATATACATATAAAAAAAAAAAAAGTGTGGTGAATCTGAACCTGAGCCTGGCTCTCCACTTTGTATTCTCTGAATCATGCCTTTCTCCTGTATCCGTGCCTACACACATACTGGGGGAAAAAAATCTGAAAGGGTGAGTCTTATGCGAAAACCGAAAGCTAAAGTGCACATCTTGGCTGGAGAGCTGAAGATGGGTTATCCACAAACTCTTTCATTAATTCTGAATCGTTACAATATTAAACACCCATGTCTTGCACCGCCTACTCAGCAGATGTATTTGTAATATGTAAGGCGAGGTATATTTTCAATGAGAATCATCAAGTCGGCATCCCTGTGGGAGTGGAACTCTGCTGCCAAGATTCTTATTAAAAATTCAAATGTCTGAGTTGCTGGAGAACTTGTGAATGGACTAGAGATGCCGAAGTCTTCAGTGCTGGTAGGTGTGGAAAACGGTATCTGTTCTGGAATGGGAAGAGCCAATCTCGCCCATCCACGGCACGATCGGTTTTGTCTGATGTCTGGCTGGAGCAAGTCAAAATGCAACCACTGTTTCCTCTTGCAGATGCTCCCCTGCTGCTTTGACGAGGTCAGTCCCTGCTTTCACTCCAGTCAATAGAAGCATTATGGTTTTTTGCACCCAAACCCTGCCCTCTGTGCTGCTCAGCAAAGCAGGAGGATGAATAGCTTTTGCGCAGATGCATACGTTGTCGGGAGTCTCTGGAACTTCAACTTCAGAAGCCTCCAAGCAACTCCCGGGAAGGACTCCGCTCGCCGAAGGCGGGCAGGCCGCTGTCAAGATTGCAGGAAAGGGGAAGACTGCTTAGGGCTGCAGTTCCAGTGCAGGCTGAAACACCTTCTGTTGAGAGCGCTCCTTCATAGGTAGAGAGCTGCTGGTGAAAACGAGATGGAGGAAGGGGGAGTGGGAAAGTCACTGCTGTTATTTCCATGGTTACAAAAACTAGTGGGGTTTATCTCTTGCTCTCCACAGAGAGCAGTCTGCGAGTTGCCATTCAGATTCCGTAGAGGATGAATTTTTTAGCATATGAAGTGAAAATAAAAAGAAAAAAAGCAGAGTGGGAGAAGCAAGTAGCAAACTGGTGCCAAGGAAGAGCAGTCTCATAGCTGGTAGATGGGAGTGAAACCCAGTTTGCAGGGATGCTGGCTTGCTGAAGCCTTCCCAAGGCCAGTGGTACAATGATGGTAGCTGAGGTACTGCTATTTTATCTTACTGCAAATCTGTTTTCCTAAAGCGTGTATATTTTGAGGGTTCTGGAAAATAACCTTTTGCTCTCTGGCAGAGATGCAACTTGTGCTGCTTTGTGTACACATCCTCTAACACCGCTGTCAAGCGAGTGTCAACAGTGTTGATGAAAATAAGCTGATGGTTTTATTTCAAGACAACTCACTTAACTCACTTACCTTTTGACAGTATGGTGTTGTATTTTGTTTCTATGTCTCCCCCAAACCAAACTTCGAGGTCTTTTTTTTTTTTTTTCTCCCTCTTTTTTTTTTTTCCTTCTAAGTCTGGGGTAACTCACTACCAGTAGAGGTCAGTGTGCAGCTGTGCTGTTCAGGATGCTTCCCCGGGACTAGCAGCCAAACTCTCCCAGCCTTTCAGAGCAGCAAGGTTTTGTGGATCGAGATCCAACACCCTCGTCCTAACCTCCGGAAGACTTGTTCCCAGATTAACTAGGGCAATAGTAAGGCTTTCTGTTTCAGTAGCTCTAGAGACTGTTGCTATTAAAAATAATAATCCCTCCAAAACCTGCTACAGCAGCTGCAGGTACAAACATGCACACAGCCCTACCCCTGTCCCAAAGAGCCAAACGACTAATATCCGAAGAAGACCTGAGAGGTTTAGCCTTTTCTTTAGGGCTTCACGCTACATACTGTAGAAACTTCCTGTCACCCAGAACTAAAGTTTAAGACAAAACTAACCTGCATGTACCCAAAAGACAGTGTCCATCTTTTGGACATCAGTCATGTAGATGCTTTAAATTCTCACTGTCCTGCCCAGCCCTGTTCCTTTCCAAATGATAGCTTTCATCTCTAAGCTCCTGTGTGAGCTGGCCTGGGAGTGAGTTTTACTGAGGATGGGGATGGAGAGATGATGGAGCGGTGGCTGAAAGCTCAGCTGTTCCTTTTTAAATTAATAAGGACAGGTTGGAATTGCCTGTGTATAGCTTAGTTCTGTTCTTCTTTGCTCATTGCTTCTCTAACCGCTTCCTTCCTGCCGCCTAAATTGGACTAAGCAAAGACGAAAAAATGCTTTTGGTATCAAACTGAGAATTATTCTTCTTTGAAGTGTCAGTGATGGAAATGGATCTTTGCTTCCTGTGACTTGAAGGCTTAGCTGCTCTGATGAAGCCATCTATGTTCTTGGACCCATAGTGAGGTCTTCGTGCTGCTTCCGCAGTTCTCCTGGGCAGAAACAGAGCGAGCAGCTGAAGTGCAAGTGCTACTTGCTGAACACTGGCATGTCTAACTGTAGTGGGTTTTTTTTTTCCCTGTTTGGGAGAGTGCTTCTGTTTATAACCCCTTCGTTTTCAGTTCTTATCACTGCTGATACACTGGAGGCCAAACTACAAAGTGACGCCCTTTGTCATGGAGCGTGGCTCAGAAGGGAATTGCTGCAAGCTGTTGTGTCTCTGTATGGTTGACTTGGGGGCTACCAAGTGGCCGTTATCCTAGTAACGAGCGGTGTTCAGATTGTCGCTTCACTTGCGGAGCTCTCTTGCAGAGGGTACTGTGCGCATAATCTGCCACTCAAGGGCTCCTCAAAAACATTGCATTAACTCTCACAATTGATATATTGAGGTTTAATATTACAGAAGGGGAGCATGTTGAGAGCGTCCTGTGTTTACAGAACACAGCCTCTGCTCTCTGGCCTTGTGTTCCCTGGAGCGCAAGGCCCAAGGCTTTCCCAGCCTCTTCTGACTGCTGTGATACCGAATGCCTTGTCATTTGGGATATGCCTGGGGTAGTGTCCTGTGATTTGGGGGGAGCGGTAGAGAAGAGTGAATTAAGAGTTCGTTTTATCTCTTCTCTGAAAAAGAAGAATGCCTGCCTGGCAAGGTTGAACTCATACGTGTTTGGGAGGCTTCTAGGCAGTGGAGCCTTTAAGTAGTAGTAAAAACTGTGTTTCAGATTGAAGTGGGGGAAAGTCTCTGGGCTAATGGAGCACAGGATTAATATTAGGGAATATGCGTTCACATGCAAATTATTCAGCTTAGGGGAGGAGTTGCATGGGGATGGCAGTACAGTTTGAGTCGTTCCGTCACAAAAACACTTACCCTGAGGAACGGCCCAGCAGTCTCCCTTAGCGGTATGTGTTCCTAGCTGTCTCTGTCAGGGCAGCGTTGAACTTTCTGGGAGGCGTGAAGTGGCCGGGTGGGAGGGATGTGGGTCTGTGGGGCACGCTGCTGCACCAGTATGTCTGCTCCAGTAGCAGGGCCTTCTGCTGCCAGGGTGTTTGCGTCCATCAACCTCCTTCTTCTTTGTGGGAGTCTGGAGCTTGGTACCCTCGTCAAAATACTCTCCCTCCTCTGCCTCTCCCAGCCTGTTCCTGAGAGGGTGTGAAACCCAGGTCTTACACTTCAGCTAGGAGCTGACTCCTATGACACTTCCAACGGGTGATGCAGATTCTGCAGAGTGAGTTTAGATTCCCTAACAAGAGACTTGCTTTGGTTAATGGTAGTTTATGAGCACCTCATAGGTAGCATCTGGACTGTCCCTAAGGGCCTGTAGTTCGGGAGATCGTTGGTCCAAATCATGTACAGCCTCTGTGCCCATCTGAGGAACAGCTTTTTGCCATATGAGGGATCTTAGCCATATGTTAGATGAGGAAGGGATGTTCTAGGTGGTTAAAATGACTGAGTGCCACATCTCAAACTACTGCAGCTCAGTGTAGAATGATGTAGGTGAGAAGGGACCTCCGGAGGTTTCTGGCCCCATATCCTGCTCAAAGCAGGTCCAGCTGGATGAGACTGCTGAGGAATTTGTCTAGCTGAGACTTGAGTATCCAAGGATGGAGTTTTCCCACTTGCCTGGACCCTTGTTTCGATACGCAGTTGCCCTCATAGTTGCACCTTGAGCCATTGCTTTTTGTCCCATTACTGTACATCTCCATAGAGTCTGAGCCAGACTTCTCTATACCTTTCCTGTTAGGCACTTGCCGGCAGCAGTAAGATCTCGCTGCACCTTCTCTGAGCTGAAGAGACCCAGCACCTTCAACCTCTCCTTGTACCTCCTGTGCTCCAGCCTCATCGCCCTCTTGGTAGTCTCTGCCAGGTTTGCCCCAGTATCTCCACATCTATCTGTCTTGTATTGGGGAGCCCCAAACTGGACACAGCGTCCAAATGTGGTCTCAAGTGCTGAAGAGAGGGGAATCGTGACCTCCTTCAGCATTTCCCTGCATTTTTGCTGGTATAGCCTGCGATGTGGTTGACCTCTGCTGTAAGGGTATGCTGCTGACTCCTGTTCAGCTTGTCCTTTTCCGCAAAGTTGAATACAATGTTTGCCTTGTATTTTATACTGAGCTCAGTAAGGCTCCTGTCAGATCCCTTCTGCAGCCTGTTGAGGTCCCTTTGAATAGCAGCCTTGCCCTGAAGCATATCCACTGTCCCTCACAAAGTGGTGTCATCTGTAGACTTGCTGAGTGTGTGCTTTGTCTTGTGGGCCAGGTCAGTAGTTAAGGCATCAAACAGTACTAGCTCCAGTACCGATGCCTGAAGGCTGCCCCCAGTTTTCAACCACCACTAGGCTTTGTAATGCTGATCACAACCCTTTGAATCCAATGGTTCAATTTTCCACGCACCTTATCGTTCACTTATCCTGTACATTTCTCTAGAAGACTGCCCTCATACTGATATGAGGAGTTGCTCAAGTACTCAGCACGCTGAGAACGAAACTTTCTGCACTTGGCTGGGAGGGCTTCAGATGTGCACTTGGAAGGATGCAAGTGGGCACTTAATTGAATCACAGCTTTAAGAAGGAAGTGCTAGTGTGCTGGTTCTAGTGATTCAGGGACTTCGTTCCCTAAGCAGAGAGGTGGGAAGTGACCATCCTGCTACAGAGTGAAAGCAGTTTGCCTGAACTGCTCAAGTACAGTTGGACGTCGAGACGCCCGATGGTGGGAGATCAGACTCATCATAGGAGGGGAAAGGTAGGATGATGTATTGCCAAAATCCCCTGTGGGTTTTACTTTGATATATATAATCAATGGTCATGTCTGTGGTTAGCCTTGAAGGTAGAGGTATAGAACTAGTGCACTCCGTTTAATGACTAAATGGAGGAGATCTAGTCCTACTAAACACACAGTTCCTTGCCTCAGGATAGCGAGTGAACAACAAAACACACCCATTCTTGGGGTGCTTTGACTTTTTTTCCTCTGCTCCCGTGGCAGGTAAGAACAACTTCCACTGTTTTCCTAGTTGGGCAGATATTTCTGGCCTACGTTCTGCTGGATGACAGACTTCAGGGTTGCTTCTGGCCTTCAGTGCCAATCAGCGCATTGTTCATGAGTTCTCAAATACCTCTCCACTGTTCCTTTTTCCCGTGCCCAGCCCTCCCCTTTTCCTGGCAGTACACTGGAGTAAAGACTGAAGGTTTTGCAAGGGTCCCTTTGGAGAGAGCACAACTGCACTTGATGCTGGCAAAGGAACTGTGCTTGTTTCTGCCTTTACTGCTGTCCTGCTGCATGGTTTTGAGTGGGTCACGTCACTTGCCAAAAAGCAAAAGTGAGAGGCCTTTTGAGGGAAACTCAAAGCCCAGGAGATAGCTGTAAGAAAAAAAGCATACTTCTAACAAAGTCTCCAATAACATTTAGTCTTACAGGAGGTAGCTAAAAAGCTAAGGCTGCTGTTACATGGAGCAACATGGGAGAATACAATATTAAAATGTCAATACGAACTCACTGACACCGGCTGAAAAATGGGGTATATCAGCAGATGGCTGACTGCGCTGGGAGAGGCTCCTTGGCATCAGCCCTGCCCTGCCGTTGAAGGCTGCTCCTGCTCACTGCAGGCTGGGATTTGATCTTGATGCCAAAATCAATGACGCTTCCTTGTTCAGAGACTTCCTCTTTGAGCCTAAAAGCCGACTGCATAGTGAGACCTCCCCCCTTCGTCTTGTGACTAGATCTCCCGGTGGTTTAATGAGCCCGATACTACTGCTGAACTCAAAGGACCTGTCAGCCGGAGTGTAGATAGGCTTTGCTTGCTCTGGCCTTTTGCTGGGAGGTTGGGTTTGTGGTGCCTCTGTCTCTGAGCCTGGGTGCCTGTGCTCTGCTCGCTCAGCCTGCCTGCAGCACTGTGGCTGCTGGACGCTTGGGCTGGTGGGAGGTGTTCCCCCAAACCAGCAGGTCAGACACATCCGAGCAGCAGTGTGAAATTCTTCCACTGCTGCTGAGTAACCTCTGCCCAGGTCGCCTTAGCTATCAGCACGTGTCAGGGGAAGGCTGGTTGGTACAACTTCTCAGAAACCTTGGAGAGGCTATTTAGGACTTCCAGCTCTAGGCTGCAGCTGCTCATTTGGTCCAGTCCTTTGGGTGCCCGCAAATGGGTTGGCGCAGCCCCGAGGCCCCTTCCGAGGCCAAGGGGGTTGCTGGGTGGCACCTCCTGCTACCACTGTGGTATTGGGCAAGGCTGGAGAAACTAGGATGAAGAAATTCACTCTGCCATCCGTTAAGTTCCCGTAATTGAAGAAAATTAGAGAAAGGCATTTTCCCTGGGAGCGAGTCAGCTCTGCCCCCAGCGATTCCTGGCAAAGGTGTCTGCCCTTATTTTTTGCCACTGCCATCAGCAGGGTGTCCCTATCCTGGAGGAGCTAACCCAGTCCTTCACTAATCTGCTAAGAAAGCTACTTGCACATCTTGCCTATGCCTTCCTGGCCATGCTGAAGCCTCAGAGACCTGGTCCTAGCTTTGATGAACAGGGAGACCTTGGCTGCTCTTAGTATCTGTAGGTAAGTAAGTTTCTGGATCAAATGCCCTTCCTCTTTCATGAAGAAAAGGACAGGTTACTGCCTCTACGTCTCACTGGCATCTTACAAGCAGAAAAAAACAGGTCATTCATTTTGTTAGTTTTTTTTTTAAATTCAATTGCTTGTAGAAAGTCTCAGCTCAACAGAAAGCCAAGAAAATGGCTTAACATAAATAAATAAATCTGAATTTGACCCCTGCCCTTCCCTCCCCAGTTCCAGCCTGGAGAGAGAGGGGAGCCAAAGCCTCCAAGTGCTTGAATGAGAGCCCCTCTGCGGGAGCAATAGCAGCGCAAAGAGATGCTGCTGGAGCCGGGGCTGGTCAGCAGCAGCGTAGCGAAAGTCCCCAGCGGCCGCGCGAGCGGCAAAGCCCTTCCCTGGCACCGGCACAGCCCGTGGGCCCAGGCACCTTCCCTGCTGGCTTTCTTTTTACAGACCCTGGGCTTTCCAGAGGGAAAAGGCAGGTTAGACCAAGGCAAAGGAGGTGCGCTCCAAGCCAGAAAGACTCAAACCTTCTGCTCTTGCATCCAGGCCTTGAAAAAGTGAAGGAGAGATTATGGAGGAGATGAAGTAAGTTCTGCTCTGCTGGGTTGGACCTTGAGTCAGCAGGCAGTCTTGGTGCTAACCAAGGCAGCCCTGACTGAGAAATTCCCGAGGAGGGTTGCCCACAGGCAGTGGGCCAGCAGGGCTCCTCAGTCCTGGGTCCGGGATCCTGCATCCACCTGGCTGCTGGCGTGGGAGAGGGCGTGACGAAGGATGAAAGGCAAGGGGGGGGAGTCCAGGTCTTTCGTTCCTAGTAGTCTCTGCCGAAAGCGGGGATCTGGGCTTCCGAATGTCTAGCGCATTCGCCTTGCTTGCGCCTGGGCTTCTCGCAGTGCCGGCCGCAGTCGGCCCGCCTGGGGCCCGAAGCACTGCTGGGGGTGGAAGAGGCAGGCGGCGCTGCCTTCTCGTGGCTGTTACATGAGGGGCTCCTTGGGGGTAGATTTGCTCTTCAGGAGGCGCTGGAGTAGCTGCTTATCTGACCTTTCTTTCTTGAAGTCATCCTCAAAGATCTTCAGCTGTGAGAAAGAGCAGAGCGACAGGAGGGTGCAAGGTGGTTTCAGGGACCTGGAGCTACAAGGCGGTGACAACCTGCGCTGTAGCCTGCACGGCCTTGAAACCTGGACTGTGCTGTTTCCCCTGGGGCTCCTTCCCTGCAAAAGACCAGGAAGGGCAGTATTTCTGCTCCCCCTGCTCAGCGCGGGCAGTGCAAACTTGAGAGAGAGGCGGCTCTCGGATCCGGAGCAGCCAGCTGGTGCTGCGGGGGGGCCGGGGCTGGGA